TGTTTTGGTTCGGAGTACTAGGTGAGTAATTTTATGTTTTAGCATCTTGCATCGAATGTTTGTGTACCATGTCCAAGCATACTTCCATGAAGCTAATTGCTTAAATGATATAACTGTTTAAATGCCTGTGGATGAAGACTAGTAGTTTGAATTGAGATAATTTGATTAATATCCATTTTAGCCCACTTTTTCAAATGGCATATTCACAAAACAATTTCAAGCAAAACATGAGATCAAATGTTCCAAATCTTACAAATTAGTCTATACTTGTGCGAGTCACATAGTAATATAGTTAATAATTAGAACAAGAACATATAATGTAAATAAAAATCACATCATGATTAATAGAGGCTGATCTTTGATCGGGCGAGTGGGGTGCTCAATTCATAACCTTCCCCCTCATACCTAAGTTCCCGAGCCGAGACACTTTGGTGATGACGGACTAATGGCCTTTGGCACGAGTCTTAGATTTCCTAAATTTCTAAAAAATATTTAGGTGGTGACTCTAAAATCTAGCAAACCAATCCATTTTCGGTATTTTATTCAAAAATTTGATTTTTTAAAAAGAATTGCCAGATTTGGACTCTTTTTTATTTTCACTGTTTCACATTGCACTTTTGAAATCAGATTCAGAACCACAAGTAAATTCCGAACTATAAGGCTTCTCGTCTTCCGAAAAGAGCGCAAAAAGTTAAGCTACGCTAATATATATTTTAGATAAACTCTGAATAAAATCAATTTATTTATTTATTCATTTATTTATTTATTTCTAAGAATAATTAAATACGAGTTCTCACAGTGGTGATGGTATGATAATGATGGTAGTGGTGGTGGTGGTGATGGTGGTCGTGGTGGTGCTGGTAGTGGTAGCAGTGATCGTGGTGGTGGTGGCGGCGACAACGACGGCAGTGGCATGATGGTCGTGGTAATAGTGAGTTTATAATAGTGTATACTGATACTTATATATAGTATTTATAAATTCAGTTAGAATTAAGTAAGTTTCATATGACTTAAAATTTTCTTAAGTTTTAACATATATTTTAAGAGGTACTTAAATTTTTAAGTGATATCAATTATGGTTATCAAATGGACTTAATTAATTATCACTTAATCAATTCAGTTTTAAGTGCTAAATCATGTTATCAGTTTTAAGTCATATAAAAGTTACTTAATTCTGATTGAATTTATAAATATTAAATATAAGTATCAATATACATTATTATAAATTCACCACCACCACTACTACTACCACCACTACTACAACCACCACCACCATCATGCCACCGCCACCACTATTATTACCACCATCACTACCACTACCGCTACCACCACGACCATACCACCGCCGCCGCCGCCGCTAGTACTATCATTTTCATCACCATTGTTATTATTGACATAAACACCACCATCATTTACCATCGCTACCACCACCATGCCACTACCACTACAATTACCACTACCACCACCACCACCACCACCATCACAATATAAAAATTAAAATATATAATTTTAAAACAATAAACCTTAAATTTGATTTTATACATATGAAACAACTTATTTTTAATTCAACACATAGATTTTTATCAAACAACTTTTCAACTTAAAAAATTCAGTATTCAATTTTCAATTTTCAGCTTTATCAAACAGTATCTATATTTATTTAAATCTTATTAACAATCTTACTAAAAACATCTATATCCAAATATCATTAGTTTAAATATTATTCAGTTTGTTTGGTTTTGGTTTTGGTTTTCAAAAAACACTTTTCACAAAATTTTACTTTTTTATTTTCTCTATTTTTTTTTTGTTTTTAATGAATTTTTTTAATATTTTAAGCAGGACACCCCTAACATAAATACACTTAAAAGTATAATATTTGTGAAGAAAATCTTTAAAAAATTCACTATATAGCAAAAATACAAAAAAAAAAAAAATGAAAATTTCAGTACATTTTTTTTATTTTGTGTGTTTATTAATTTTTTTAAATATTTTTTCACAAATATTTTACTATTTGGATATATCTAAGTAAGATGTATCTTCAAAAGAAAAAAAAAAATCCTTAAAATTTTAAAATTATTAACTACAAACAAAAAAATCAATTTCCAAAAAATTGAATTCAAAAAATTAAAACTAAACATATTAATTATTTTTTTGATAATCAATCACATTTAATTATTTGTATTTTTAATAAGATTGTTAGCATATGTAAAATTAAATTTGTTTTTTTTAAAACTTCCCTTAATTGTTATTTTCTCAAAAACGAAGGTTGGTATAGGTATAAAGCCCACATCATGCCATGAGCGGGTGTCTCTATTTACACACCACATTTATTCTTAAACCGCACCAGTACTCAATTCACACCTTTAATAATTTAAAAAAACATAATTTTTCTTAACACACACCACAACGTTCCATTTTTGTCCTTACTCCCCACCACGAATACCTTAATTTTTCCAACTCTTTCTATGCTTCGTATCTCATCATTATCATCTTCATCACCTTGATCATGAAAAATGGAAGTTGTAATGGATCATTCAATGCCAAAGCGCCACAAACCTCTTGATAAACCCTAGTTGTAATGGATCATTCATTCAATGGTTGATCAAAGTTTTGATCTTCTTGTACTTCCCTTTGGATTCACTGGTTTTCTTTAATTTCACACTTTGGACAATCTTGTGAGTTCTTGTCACTCTCTCCTTTTTCAACCATTCTTGGGTTCAATTGGGGTGTTTTCTTTCTGGGTTTTTAGTTTTTTTGGTGATTCTCACATACTACATCAGCCCATTTCTGTTCTAGGGTTCAATCTTGAACAATTTTTGAGTTTTTTTGTTTTTGTCACTCTCTCTGTTTTGAGCAAATTGGAATTTTTACTTCAATTGTGAACTCATTTCAGTTCTAGGGTTCAATCTTGCATTATCTTTTTGAGTTCTTGTCACTCTCTTTCTCTCTCTCAGCACTTGTTGGATCCAATTGGGTTTGGGTTATTGTAATTCGAAGGATTTGAATGCATACATAAAATATATATTGCTAGTGTTGTGTAGTTGACGTGAAAACGAAAGTGCAACACTGGTTAGGGTTGGTGTGTAATTAGAATTCTGTCCAAAATGGTAATTTAACTAATGAAGGTTGTGTATTCAACTAAGATGTGTCTTTGGTCATTTTGGTCATTTTAGATAAGGTTATTATTGTAATAAAAAAATAACTAATTAATAGTGTGCCTTGAAACAAAATGGGGTGTGTAAATAGAGGCACCCCATGATTGTCATCATAATTAGAGAGAGAGAGAGTGACGAGGAAATGTGAATGCACGTTTCACATGAAAATTATTTAAATATTTATTAAGAAGTGAGTTGATTTTTTGACTTTTTGGTTTTTTTTTTGATTATTTTAGTCTGGATTAAAAAGTTTGATTTGGGAAGGGTTTTTTGACTTTTTTGACTTTTTTCGTGAGAGAATAGTATAATGATTATGGATTAGATGTGATATTTTATTTTTTGTAGCTAAAATAGTCTATTTTGCCTTTTGTGACTAAAATAGTCAAAAAAAAACCAACTTTAGCTCTTGCCAAACAGATCCTAAATGTGAACTCTCTCTAAATATTTATTTATTACATATACCACCACCATTTTTGTAGTCATTGATTTGGAGAAACATATGTAAACACCGGAGCCAATCCGACAAGCATCTTCAATTATTGCCTTACTTACAACAAGGAGCGTATCTAACATATAAATAAATAAATACAAATGCATTCAACAGAGAGAGTGACGAGGAAATGTGAATGCACGTTTCACATGAAAATTATTTAAATACTTATTAAATGTCAACTCTCTCTAAATATTTATTTACTACATACTTGTACCACTAACATTTTTATATCGGTAGTATTACATGTTTAATTAGTGTACTAATAAGTATACTAACATTAATTATGACATTATTATTAATCTCACTCATTAATCACATAATAAATATCAAAAATCTCTTAAATTTTATTAAATTATCAATTGATGCACTAATTAGTACACTAATAAATCCATATAACATTATTCTTTTTCTATTCATTGATTTGGGGGTTTTATAGCATTGGGTAGGTACAAGATCTTCTGTTTAGAAAAATGCATATTTCTCATTTAATCATTTTTAGTCACATGAATTTATTCAAAATTCTAATGTTATGAAATTCTTACCATGTCGTGCAGTAGCAAATAATTCTAGGAATTTCTTTCAGGTAATTTTTCTTTTTGTTAATTATAGAAGATAAATTGCAAATATTATGAGAATAATATCAAACTATGCATTCAGTTATGAAAGAAAGTCTAACACACAATCATAAATACAACACAAACCCAACAAAACGCAAAAATAACTCAAACAAGGAGTTTTTTTTTTTTTTGGGTGGGCAACAAGGAGTTGTATGTGGACAAAATCCAACTTCTAATCTAGTCTTCTAATAAGATCACATGGAGTGAGGTATTCAAAATTTTAATGAAGTGGGTTCAAATCACCACTACAAAAATCAAGAAACGATCACATTTAAAAATCGTAATTTATGGAGGTACAACTCATGGTGTTCAAAATAAATTTCAAAGTAACAAAGTGGCATCAAGGTGTGCCCAATTTTTTATTTTTTATTTTTATTTTTTTTTGGAGAGTTGTTCGCAAAAATTTATAAAAGTGAAATGTCATCCAAAATATATCTTATTATGAATGTTATTTAATAATTTATTTATTTATTCCAGTTATTCTAGTGAACTCCAAAACATTACTAGAAATGCACTGCACAAGGGAGAGATTTTGGTTAGAGAAGATCCCGAACACAACGGTTTGTAAATTTGATATGTTAATTAATTAATTAATTACCAACATAACTGAAGCACAACTCACATGGATGATTGATTATCATATCTATTTTTATTTGTTAATCACAATGCGTATTCACACATGCCTAAACAACAACCCTTTAAAGTCTTTGTTAATTATTTTCCCATTAACAAAAGTTTTGGATATAAAAGCAATGCAAGAAATGAGCTAGTTACTGCAACTCAGTTTCAAGAAACGTAAGAGGTGGTGGTGGAGATGGAAGCAATGGCGGTCAAGACACGGGAGGCGGTGGAGGAAGTCGGTTTGCAATGGCTGCAGCGGCGGCCTCGGCATCAGAACGACACTATTACTGCTGCCAATGGTAATGGTAGCAGTACTGTCGAGGATGGAGAAGAAGAGATCAATGGAAGTGTACTACTGGAGAAGATGGAAGAGATTGGAGGTATGGCCACTATATGTGCTGTTTCATGCAGTTTATGATGTTTATAATTTTTATTTTTTTTTCTCTTTTAGTATTTGGTTCAGTTTATTTATATAGCATATGAATTAGAAGTAAGATTATATGTAACATTTTTTATAGAGTACGTAAATAAAAAAAGATTGATTATTGAGAAGCAAACAATGAATTATTTTTAATTTCTATTTCTGATTATCAACTTTTAATTTGAAAAAAAAAATCAAACATGCCTTATATATTCACCAGTTCTTTTCACCATTTTACATCAGATTATGTAGCAAGAATTTTTTTTCATTAATTGCTTAGTAATTATTTTCAAATAAGAGAACTAATCATGAATATAATTTTATAAAACGGTGACATATAATATTTCTCTGTCTTTCCATACACGTGTAGTGATAATCTAGTTTGTTACACTTAATTTGTAGGGTAAATTACAAATATACTCTCTAAAATTTACTTAAAATACTAACTGCCTATATAGTTTTGAAAATTACATCACGTCTCTTAAAATTTCTAACCGCATAACAAATAACCTCTTTTATCAATTAACCATTAAGTTAATTAACAATTTTTAAAAATGTCAACAATATATTTCAATTAACAATTCTAGTTATTTAATTGTTGTATAAAAAAACAGTTAATTTCATTTTTTTTGATCAACTCTATTAAATGACAAATTCTAACAAGAGAGATTTGTAATTTTTAAAACCAATATATTTTAAACAAATTTCAAGAGGTGTATTGTACTTTACCAAAAAAAAAAAATTCTATTTATATGTTTTAATGTTTGTTTCACTCTTTATGCCAATAGAAAATTATGTTATAATTCAATTTTTATTTTATTTTTTAGTTAGTACATGTGTTTGTCCCCTAAATTAAAATCCAGGACATGTGCTTCATGATTGCAGCAGGTACTGAACCTACTGAAATAAGATCTTCTGAAACTTATTATACTACAGTGGATTCCTCTCTTTCTAAGGCTAATGGGAGTACCAGAGAAGAAGAATTGGATGTAAAACTGAAAAAAATAGACATCCAAAAGATCCTGAGAAGTGTCATTACACATCAAGATGAGGAAACTGTGAAGCATGAAACTTCATGTGAAGAAGAATACATGCTTTTCAAACTGTTAAGTGAAGGAACAAAAGAACTTGTCAACATTAACAGATTCGATCATAAAGAAAGCAATGAAGAAATAGAATTTGAATTTGAGAGGGTTGTAGAGAAGTTAGATCAGCACAGTGTGCACTGTCCTAAATGTAATTCTTGCATTACCAAAGTTGTTCTTCGTAAAAAGGTAAGGACTAGTACTGTTCCTCCTAAGCCATTTGGTCTGCTTAAATGCTTCTCCTGCTTCAGCATTTTCATTCCCAAAGGTACAACTTCTCCCCTGCCTTCCTACTTGGATTTGGTTGTGTTTTTGTTTTATTCAGTTTTTATTTTTCGTGTTTTCAGAGAGAAAATAATGAAACGGAGTGAGACATTTTGATTTCTAAAGAATGAATATGAATGAAATTTCCCACTTGAATACTTGAATTAAGTAGGGAAATGGTGTTAATTTATTCAGGGATTTTTCGAAGACCAAATGGGGTCGCAAACGAACAAAGTTTACACAAGACGTCATCTGCACTAGATGAAAATCTTTCCTCTATTTTCACTGATGATCGCAAGGGGAAAATGGTGAAGATTGATCAGCAGCAAGGTAATATGTCATCTGCAACTTCACTTTTATGATCTCTGACTTGGAAAGTGGAAATCCTCTTTCCTCAACTTCATTTTTATTATCTAATGGCAATCCTCGAAAGAAAATTAAATTCTTTTGGTTGGTTTTGCCCAACTAGAAATTTTCTGATCTCTGACTAGGAAAGTGGAAAAACATTTTCCTTTCCACTTGTGTTAATTCAAACAGAAGAAGCCCAAGGAATTTTACATAACTAAGAACTACACTAATATTCTAACTATTACATACTGTTCAAACTTGAAATCTTATCCTTTCACGGACTCATTTTCTTCATTTCTTGACTAATCTGTGGCGCTAGTGTTCATTCTGGACTACAATGTTGATTAATGTTAAAAATTTGTTAAGCAGGGAGGTTTTTTGATATATTCCGGGCTTCTACGAGCAAACAAAATCCTCAGCCAACATCTGCCATAACTGGAAATTATCCCACTTGCGTCACATATGAGACAGCGAGTGTGGTGATTGGTCAAGAAGGTAACATATGTTAGACTAATTTCATCTATAATAGATTTAAACATGCTTCAGTTCATGGAATGACTAATCTAAAATTAGCCATGCATACCGGTGTACTTGAAGAGTCAGTCATAGCTGCTGACTGAGTTGATGAAGCTTTGAGTTGTCTACTGCAATCTGAAAAGAGAATTTGAGTTTTCATATAGAACAGAGAGAGAGAGAGAGAGGTGAACTACCCTATGTTCCCCTTTTGTTATCATCAGTACTAATATGACTTAATAGGCCAGCCACAGTTATAATATATATGGATGAGGGGAGGGGCATCTATTGTGTATATAAAAATGACTAATCCCATTATGGGTCCAAAAATAAAAGAAAGTTAAGATCTCATATTTATCATGAACTCACTAACTGATCTCGTCCAAAGCAAGGCCCAACGTATGCTCCAAAAATATTTGCCATTGTGCACACTCTAATCCAGTTTTATTTAAAATAATACATATAAATGACTATACCAATCCACTATAAAATATGGATATAAATACCCCAAAATATCATTCAGCAGTCCTTTATTCATATTCAACTCTTTCAGAACTTTTAACTAGCAATAATCACAATCAATTAGTTTCCAGCACCTACTTCCACTATTTGTTGCAACTAGTTAATTACTCTCTCTCATGAATGTCCTTGTATATTTGTGGTTTCCTTCTTCCAGTATGCTCTTTTGGGTTAACAACAGGAGTCTCTGGTTTATCATTTCATACTATTTCAGGCTAGCTGGGTGAGTACTATGTGCATCCAGAGGGGGGGTGTCATTGTCAAGATAAGCAGGGAATTCAAAATACTAGGAAACTTTTCATTTTATGAAAAGTTTTATAAGGAAAAAATGATTTGAAATCATACCTTGAGGTGTATACGGAAGTTTTGAGTATGGATTCACCAGAGACTACACAAATCTTCTTCTAATGCTTCTGTTGTTTGGCCTATTTGCTTGTTATGGTTATGCAGAAACTAAAGCACCACGCGGACAGAATTATTATCCTCCATCACCATCACAAGAATCTGTGTCACCTGGTAAAGCAGTGTCCAAAACTGAAGTTGTAAATAATGTGATCAATGGACCCGAGCGTGCTCCTTCAACCAACGGAGTTGTACCACCTGGAGGTCTTGGACATCTTGCAATCAACATAAAAGACGGATCAGGTGATGCCATTAAAACCTAAATTACAAGTCTAGTGCTCTTAAGGGAAAATTGAGAAATTTGGCCATACACCACTCTTAGCTTCGTTTTCTTGTTAAAAAGACGAAAAAAAAAATTTCTTATTTTCAAAACCCCCTCATAATTATAAAGTCCTGTATGAAGGACAAAATTTGTTATTTGAATATTTTATTTGACTATTATACCCTCTCTTTCTTTTATGACACTCTCTCTTTTCTCTCTCTTCACCAGCTCGATGATTGTTCATCATCTCTACCATCTTCATCATCTACCAACATTGCTCATCCTCACCGTCACCCAGCGACCACCATTTTTACCATCAAACTACCACCATCTCAGATTTGATACTTGCGAACTCATATTTGAGATCAATGACTTTAGATCTAAGATTAAAATAAATAATAAATAATAAATTAGATTTGATAGAAAAATGAGAAATCGAAATATTGCAATGAAAAATCAAGAGTTTTTTACTTGTTTGTTCATAGATCTAAAAGTAAAATTTGACTGTGGTTCGTTCATTTATCATGTACTTTATTTTTTGTAACAGTAAAATTTTACTCTAGTTAATAACATGCTGATCTGCTTAACGACATTAAAATTTTACTTTGAATTATAGTAAACTTTACTCTGATTCAAAGTAAAATTGTACTTCTTTATTTTTTATTTTCTTTTATTACAAAGTCAAATTTTACTCTGAAACAAGCTCCGAGAATGTCGTTACAGGAGAGTGTTGTATCATGAACCAAAGTAAAATTTTACTGTTCGAAGAACAATACATCATGAGAAGAAGAAAGAGAAATAGGGAGGCAAAGTTCGAAAAAAGAGGATCATAAGAAGAAGAAGAGAGAGAGAGAGAGAGAGAAATGGTGAGTGGCACACACACACACACATAGAGAAAGAGCATGAACCATCACAACCAGAGAGAGAGAAAGAGAGAGAGAGAGAAGGATCTCAGATCTTAGATTTGCGAACTATCGGGAACTATCATTTTTTGGCGACGACTATGAACGATCTCAAATTTGAGGTTGTAGATGCGATGAGTGGCGATAGCGATGAAAACGATAGAGAAAGAGGTCCATGGTGAGTGGCGATGGCGCCAGTGGAGAGCGGCGATGGAGACAATAGTGATAAAAACGAGACAGAGAAAAAAAAGATTGAGATGAGAAAGAGTAATTGCAATCTGATACACACTCACACATATATATATCAGAGTGTTATAGTAAAAGAAATATGTTTTAAAATAATAGGGAGTTTTGAAAGGATCAATATAATTCTTGTCCTTTTAAAGGATAAGTTAGACATTGAGGGATCTATCACCAAATCCCCCAAGAAAATTTCTGATAATTGTTACTAATAACTACTTTTCTAACAAAGGGAGGTTGGTTTTCTTTCTCTCTGTGTTCGTGTGTATAATATACGATGTATACTTACACGTGTTTTCCACATTTCTTATCAATTTATGGCAATGCGAATAAGCTCCTCATTGGGTAGGCTTAAACATAAAAATTCTTTTGTTGTAGATGCTAAACATTTGATGTTATGGAATCATTGATTTTAGGCAGTTGTTTTTTTCATGCATGCTGAATAGAACAATAAAACTTTTGCAGATGACAAACTTTCCATAAAATCAGAGGGTCATCAAACTGGAGACAGAGAGATTATTGATGATGAAAAGTCAGAAGGTATATATATATTTTAATTCTATACTAATTTCCTACTAACAACCTCCATCTGTGCTATTCTGATTTCAGTTTTATTTTATATCTACTTTTGCATTTCATGTGTGCCACTTTTGCATTTTATTAGTGTAAACAAGAAGTCGATTAGCCATTCATTTCACACTAACATGAGCCGGTCTTAGGCTGCAACAAGTCCCAAATTCCTTGGGTTGGAAATTTTAAGGCCTAGTTTTTTGACTTGGAGATCATATGCCGGGCTTGCTTAACCTGACTGCAGCTTATTGGAGATTTTCTTCTTTTTTTTTTTTTTTTTTTTTCGAAGTTAAAATCACAACTAAGCACCAGCAGAAGACGGGGATTATTGGTGATTCATTCATATTAAATTTATGAGAAAGGTCTTCTTCCCAATTTTCTTGTACAAGAAAAAAGTTTAGTTTTAACTTTAACTTTCAGACTGTATGTAATGGTTCAAGCCTGGACTATATACATATATGTGTGTGTGTATTAATGTTTTTCATGGTCAGCATAATGATACAAAAAATTACTAGCTGATTTTTATTAAATCTAATGCATTTTTAACGCTCACGCAGAGCACGTAGGTAAATAATTTTGGCATGGTTGTCCAATACATGCAGGGACCATTGAGCGAGGAGCTTCTATAATAACTTTAGATGAAGAAGGTTCTAAAACATTGGAAATCCTAAAGAGCGTTGTTTATGGTGGGTTAATGGAATCAATGACAAGCCTAAGTGTTGTGTCATCTGCAGCTGCTGCAGATGCCACCACAAGTAAGTTTTTCACACATATTCCTTTTTGGTTGGTTATGCACAAGTAGGAAATAGGAATGAGTTTTTATACATTTGTTTTTGCTAGGAATGCAAGTTTCTTATGGCATAATATATTTCCATTTTAATTGTATGATGACACTAACATGTTTCTCTGCTTATCTGTATAAATGGTTATCAGTTTATAGACTGCACTAAATATAACATGTACACATAATTTAGGATCAACTGGCATGACATTTATCAATAATTTTTTTACCATCCATGACAGTCTAATTTGGATCCATGAATAAATATTAGCATATCACTTCTAGGATAGTTGTAAAAGTTTCTCATGCAGATTATAGTAATTTTATAACTATTTTTCTGTTCTTTAACTCAAAATTGGAGGATTAGTAGATTTGATATAATTGAGGTTAAAGCTGTTTATAGAAGTGTTTGACATTTGATTTCGAGGTAATCGTTTACATTACTCACAATCTTGTCTTGTGTTGCCACAGTGAACATTGTAGCTATGGGATTGGCAAATCTGATTGGTGGACTTTTCATTATTGGTCCTAATGTGAGTAATCTCTTGCCTGTTTAATATTTCTTACCTATTAGCATAATTTTCAATGTCATTGCAACCGTTGATGTTAGCTTGCCAATGTAGTTTCCAGTTCCACTACAAGATTAAGCATCAAAATTAAGTTATGAGTAATGATTAGAAATGCATCTCAAACAGAGAAAAATAACGAAATATGTTGAGAAACCTTGTACAAAATCTGTTTAACCATTCTATTTTGTTAGGGACCATATTTTTGTTTAAATCATTGGCCGGCTAGCCTGTTCCGGTATTACCTTGACATCTAATGACAAATAAAGTACTTACTTAACTCTACAAATATTATTTTTGTCAGTTGTTCATCACTCCATCTAATCATCCTTGTTTTAGCTGTTCTGATGTATTTACGTTTTTAAAGTGTAGATAAAAAATGTCCTTAAAATACCATTATTCTCTATATCATCACAAGTTTCTTCTGCCAATTATCCATTCTATCAACTTCAAGCATAATAAAATCTATCTTTTTTCTTCTTTTTTTTTTTTTTTATTCCTTTCAAAGTATGCATGAAATTTGATCCTCTTGTTTGGGTGTGTGTGAATCATGAGCTACATCAATTGACAGGACAAGTTATTCAGAGTATTAAACTTGATCTTCTTGTTGTCTCATAATAACAAACTATGGAGTTGCATATAGGACATTATTCTTCAAATCATTCATACTTCATATTATGTGAGGCAAAATCTTTTCCTAATTTTTCATTTTCAAGTAAATTCTCTTTCTTGCATCTTGAACTAACATGTAATCTTGCAGCTTAGGGAACTAAAAAATGAAGAGTCTGGACAAGTAGATAGGTACAAAGAATTACTGGGCCAGAGGAAGAATTTCTTACTTCATGCAACGGTTGCTGTGCTAGCGTTCCTCATTTTTGGCTTAATCCCTCCAGTAGCTTACGGCTTCTCATTTCGCCAGATTGATGACAAGGACCTAAAGCTTGTGGTAGTCGCAGCAGCTTCTCTTCTGTGCATTGCTATACTTGCAATTGGGAAGGCTTACATCCAGAAGAAACCCAACTTTTACACATATATCAAAACTGTACTGTACTATATTAGTATGGCAGTTATGGCCTCAGGCATTTCTTATGCTGCAGGTGAATTAATCAAGAGGCTCGTGGAGGAGCTTGCTTGGTTTGATTCAAGTGTAGCTGTCACTCTGTCCCTTCCTCAGGTGCAATCAGTAAATCCAGTTTGGGGGTCCTACTGATGTCATGAGATCCGAAATCAATGTTTGTTCACAATTAATTGTCTGGAATATTTGCCATCATAAGCTGTTTCTTTCTTGATTTATAGCTTTCTTCACTTGGTTCTTCAAGGTGTGTGAATAATGAGCTAGTCCAGAGCACCTGTTGATATTATGGAATTGAAATATCAATCATTGTGTTTCATTGAAATAATGAATGTATTTCTTCAAGTTGACTGTTGCATTTGAATGCTAAGCATACAATTGTGTTGATTTCCTGGCTCTTTTTGAGTGTATATCAGTATCTACAATCCCTTTTCATTTCCAGCTTTTATCCATTCCTCCCAGTTATCCTGAGATAAAGAAGAATCTATGCTGACAGAGCTTAGCATACATAATGTGAATTTTCCCCACCATCTTAACACAATCAGAAAGCAAAAAAGTCGATTGAATGGAAACTTTACCTCGATTGTATATGCTTTTTCCCTCCAAAATTTTGGATCCATTGTGGATTTGTTTCTGATAAGGAAAACATATTGCTGAAATCTAGCAATAGACATCTTAAGTTTCAGAACAACCAACAAAAATAGAAAAGAAAAACACAATCAGAATTGTTTACCTTTGAATTGCACTGCACATATAGTAACAATAATTAAATGGGTTAGAACATTTAACTATTGAAGAAGAAGACGAAGAAGAAGAAGAAGAAGAAGCATTTAATCTGATTATAAACAAAACTCTTGCTGAATTTCTTATTTATCTTTGAATTGTTCTGCACATATAGTCACAATAAATTAGGTACAGTATGGGCAAATGGAAATTAAATGGCTCTGCATTCAACCAAAAAAAGACCACTTGTATCACACTTGTCAGAACATCCATCTCGGAGATGAATGAACTGTGTTTTGCCGCGGCCTGTTTCGCTGATCTGAATTGTTTCGGTTTTTCATGATGGAGGAAACTGTTGGGCCGTAGAAGTCATTACTCCTTTGAGAAGTTGCCCCTTGTGAATAGATCTTTCTTCCTTGCACAAAGCTCCTCTGGTTTTCTAGCACTGTCTTGCGAACCACAGGATTCCTTTGAACAGCTCCCCATCTGTTGTAATTCACACAGCTCTGGCTCCTCCCGACTTGCTGAAACTTTCCCTCCCTAGGAGTCGGATAATTACGACTTTCAGCTGTTTCTGCAGAATACATAGTAGTCTCTCCTTCACTGCTATACCCATTATGCATCTCTGAAACCTCGACTGGGGACGAACTGGACTGTACCTCACTATGGCCCCCATTTACAGAACCTGTTGAGGAAATGTCAGCATCTGCCATGGGACCACGCTGTCCTCTGCCACTAAATCTTTCTTCTTCTCTCAATGGTTGCTGCAGGGGAAGTTCCTTGACACAATTCTCATCCGAGCAAGGGGCCAGCTTGTTGGTAGACTGTGGCAAAGCTGGAGTTTTGGCAACCTTTGGAGGAAAATTAATATCTAAAAGCTGGAATTGGGTATTTTCCTTCAATCTTACAGGGACTGAGGTTAATTTTGGTGAGTCATAAATTTCTGGTGTTGGAATCCCCTGCACATGGGTTGCAGCATGTGGATCGGTGGTCAGGGTTTCATCAACAAAGGTATTTGCTGCAGCAGAACAGCTTGGACCTGGCTGATCCTTTGTTTTTGACATTAAATTTGATGATGATGGTGTTACGACATTTTCAGGCTCCGTTGACTTGAAGACCCTCCTCATTGTGAAGGAAGCACAAGAATGATCACTCTTCTGGCCAGCAGACATCAACCGGATGAGAGGTAACTTGGGTTTGTTGAGGTCATCAAGGTTACCCTCCCAATGCTGGTTTAACCAATCACAGATGATGGGGATAGGGATACCGAATTGCATAGGAAGGTCCTTCTTCCATGATGATGACGATGATGATGACGTTGAAGAGGATTTTGTGTTTGGAGATGTAGCTAGCTTCATGGGATCACAGACCATGAATGCAAGATTGCCTTGCACATCAAAACCAGCAGACCCAGGGCTCCAAGTTACACTGTCAGTGGACAGCTTTATGAGATTGTCCGTGGCTATAACCACTTTACCTTCACCAACTGTCAACTCATTTTTCTGTGTGTAGCCTAGAAGGTAAACTACACTACCCAGCTCCAGATTTGGTTTAGAGCAGGTTTTTAAGTAGTGAGGCTGCTGCCCCTGAGCATTTGAGTCTCCATCCATGGCATCTACACCCACTATTGTAAGGTCAAGAACAGAGCTGGTGATGAAAAACCTGCAATCAAAATGAAAGACATGAGAAAATTATTGTGAACCCAAGTACAGGCTCATATCCTTTCCATTCATTTGCCTAAAAGTTCAATTATAGATCCACCTGGCAGAATATGAAAAATGAGGAGTATCAAAGATGTTACATGAAGTATGTGTCATTATAAGACAGCAACTTCATAATGGAATGCAACATGTAAGAAGGCTGCAACAGCCATTCTATTTGGTAGAAACCATCATCTCAGAAACACAAAAGTGACGGCCAACACTGTGGTGGCAAATAACCAAGCCAAGACTAAACATTTTCTATTTTTCATCAAAGAAAAATCGCATGCCTCATTATGCTTCACAAGCATTATCCATGTATGTCAGAGTCCATGGAAGGCTGCAAGCATAAATTCATTAGTTCCAATACTAATCACTTCTACGTCCTTCAACAGATTTGAGATTTGAATGCCTTTAACAACTGATTACTGTGAATAAAGTTCCTAACTTCCTAACATACAATAGTTTCTTAAAGTTGGTATTGATCTGTTGCATTGAGTTTCAGAAGTAAGATTTCAGAGCTTAATACTAAAACAAAAACAAAAAATGCAGAAAAATGGAAAGTTTAACAAAAAATTCCAAATGAATGGAAGAATCTATTTAAATTACAATGGGAAAGGAAAGACCAAAAATTATTGCAATTTCATGGAATCAAAGTTTTAAAGACAAAAATGTCCTTCACTCTCTCACTCTTACCCACTCATCTTCTCTCCCTACTTGCAAACCCTAACCCCTCCCCCAATGTGACATCCACTTCCTCTCCAACCCGACCACCATCCCCCTCCACCTTCCTTCTCTAGCACCAACACCCGTTCCTCTCCAGCTTGAAGATTATCTCCACTTCACTCTATCTCTAGTTCTGGGATATGAGAACCAAAAGAATCAGAGGTGGGCCTTGATTTTGAGAAATGGCCAGCTCTCTCCCTCTCCTCTTCTGCCATCGCGGGCCTCCACCCACCACCTTCTCTAGTTCAATTTGGTTTATCACCAGCCAAATGAGAAAAAGGGTTATCTAGATCTGGTTCGATCTTCTCTATTTCTCTCTATAGCGTTTTGATCGAAACAGTGGTAGCCAACTGTGCTTTGGGTGATGGATGTTGAGTTAATACTTGATGATGGTGGATCTGTGAGATGGTGGCGGCTGGTGAAGTGTGGTGGTGTTCTACGGTGGTGAGTGGTAGAGATGGTGATACAGGGAAGGGATTGAGCAAAGAATTGAAGGGGATTCATGGAGGAGGGAATAGATGGGTGGGTCACAGTGGTTGCCGCTGGTGGACGGTTGTCTGGAAATCAATGTCCAGCAAGGGACCGGCAATTGGAATTGCAGAGGGAAGACAAAAGTTGATAGAAGGAAAAGGAATAAAGAAATGTCCTTTTTGTCTTTTTAAATAAAGATATTTGCAATTAAATTTAAACCTTCCACCTGTTAGGAAATTATAGAATGTTCCTAGAGTACCATGTGTCCATACTCCTTAATCAATCATCATTCAATATGCCCCCTCATATTCTCCAATCACCCGACACAATACCCCACCTACTCACCTTCTCCACCAATCACAATGTTATAGAATACCACGTGTCTACACTCCGGGATTACTGAATAATTACCCCCATCTCTATTGCGTTTATGGAAACAAAACATCGCACTAATTTGTGATTATTCTTTGTCCTTTACTTTTTTTTTGTTGTTGTAATTTTTCCAAATAAATACGATGGATGAACATTATCATAACATTATTATTTCACTAAATTATAAAAAAAGGAACAATAAAAAACAAAAAGTGAAGTCAATAGTGCGTATAGGTAAATTGCATTTAACATTCAACTGTTAATATGCGTGCGCACTCACCAACATAAATGCATTTGAATGACATGCACTTTAAAGTCATCAAGCAACATTCAGATTGACTAAGGACAAAGATACAGATTCCAGAATTTTGATCAACTTGTTAAAGACAGATAAATTGATAAGACAAACATTCTTTACCAATCATTCATTTAAATTCAATTGCAAACAAGACAATCCCCAATCAGTGGGAGCTTGCTTCATACGGCACTTACTTTACATCATAATAAGTACTCCCTCTGTCCCATTTTATTTATCCACTTTTCCATTTTAGTCCGTCCTAAAATGTTTGTCCATTTTTTATTTTGGGATATTAAATTTTGTTAGCCAAAATTGCCCCTTATTAATAATTATGAACACATTTTAAAATTCAAAAAGAAGGGTAATGGTGGGAAAAACATTTCAAAATTTGAAGTAAAATATAATGATTGCATGCCTCCTTAATAAGTTGAATTTTCTATAATGGACAAATAAATTGGGACGGAGGGAGTAATTAATTACTAATCATCGAAAAAGAAGCATAAATAATAGCTTTCATTATGAACAACTGTATGAGCAACGCTTTGTGCTCACTCACAGGTGTCAAAACAGGAACACTTCACAATACAATGCAGAGAAGAAAGACAAAAAAACTCAAATTTGATAACAAGCTCGCTCCTCAATCATTGAATCTCCCATCCCCATCCCCATTCCAATGGAAAAGGACAAAAAATATTTTTAGGAATCGACATTTTATGATGATACTAACATGCACCATGTCCCACTAAAGATAGAGGTAACGAATCCCTGAAATCATCATATTCCTCTTTGATGTGTTGCATTTGAATATGGTATAACTTATATTATAGGGGTACTTACGTGTAGGTCCTAATAAGTGAATTTATTGTCTAATAAGTCTTATGAGAAAAATTTGTCATAAAAAAAAATCTATAATTGTAAGTTTTAGCGACAATTTATAAAAATCATGACAAAAAAAAGTCACTAATTGTCAATTTTTAGCGACATTTATAAAAAATTGTTACACAAAATTTATTTTTAGCGACAATTTTATCAATACTTATTTTCAATAGGACTCGATAGGAATTAAGTCCAACTATTAGGACCTATTAGTAGTTTAGCCTATATTATATTCAACTTGTTGAGTCTAGTATTGAACTGATCAACAATAATTTGTTAATAAGTTTGCTGATTGATAATTAGATCTTTACATGTGAATCCCCAAACGATCAGGGGAAAATCAATAGGGGAAAATCAATAGGGGAAAAAAAAATAAAATCAACATGCTGCTCGATTCTTACCATACCTAAAGCAATTTTGAACACCATCCCAGAATCTAGCTCAACTTGTAGGTAGATACAGAACTGTGCTATTCCTTCGTACGAAGAATTAAAACCTAGCCCGGTATTTAAGATGTGGCAGTCTTATTAGGGGTAAGCAGATGATGAAAACTCTTATAAACAATAAGGCAACCCCACCTAGTGTGGCCAACCATCGTTATTTATATTTTTTATTAATATGCCAGCATTTGGTGCTAATGTAGGCAGATCTAAACTGAAATGGACTCCACATAATATTGAATTGAATGGGTAAAATACAATTCTCAGTTCTCAGTTATATTGTTTTGCAGCAGAAAAATAACCACTGTAACCGGTGAAATCAACACATTAAATTCACTCTTGCATCAGCCAAAACTCAAAACAGAAGGTCATCAGATTGGTAAATATATCCATATAATCCTCATTGAAGTTAACCAAATCAATAATTTTTAAATCCTGCAATCACTATAAACAATTTTTCAAAAAATTAAAAACGAAAACTTTTATATGAAAAAAAAAAAACAAAACAAAACATACACACACACACACATAAACAGCTATTGTTTCATGCTGATATTGCATTATGCACAATAATGACTATTGAATAGTCACAGCTAGAAAGAATGGACTCTAGATCTAACATCACCACCACCAACTATGGAGTAATTACATGTCTATGGAATCATAATTCAATCAAGCAATGCGTGCAACTACTAATTCATTCACCATCATTTGAATCCGAATCACATAAAATCAGAAATCAAACGATAAAAAAGGAATTTAACAACAACTACGTACGTATCAACTCATAGAAGTCGAAAACCCTAACCTGTGAGGGAAAAGGCTAGCAGCGGCAACGTTCCGAAGGCGGATCTCAGCCGACTCAGCGGCGGCCACCGACGGGAGGTTGACGTGCGTGGTCAACAGCAGATTTCTGTGGATGAGGAAGCCGGTGCCGGACATTCCTCCACCGCCGCCGGAGATTCTCGCCATGGCCGGACCTTTGCCGGAAAAAATGGCAGCTTTCATTCTCTCAGACTTGCCTCCGCCATTGCAGAAACACCAAGATTCGCCCAAAACCCCCATCTCCCCAGTGTCTTGGCAAGGATTTCAGATCTAGAATCGCAGCTCGTAATGCATTCTCTCTCTCTCTCTAGCTCTAGCTCTCTGGCTTTGCTTTGCTTTGCTTTGCTTTGCTTTGCTATGTCTACGTGTGTGTGAGAGAGAGAGAGAGAAAGCAGTGTAATGATAATGGTGGAGAGAGAGAGATGGTCAGGAAATAGAGAGTATCAGATTGGATATTTTTAATCTGAAAAAATAGGCATTTTGCGTGTGTGTATAGTATTTATAAAAACACAGATAATTCAGTACTGTAGACAAGTGAAAGGGAGACCGCGTGAGGAAGCCAAAAGCATTTTATTTATTTATTTATTTAAATAATAAAGGAAAATACACCACTAATGTTGAATACTGATGTCCAAATTCCAATTAATATAATTTTAACATAAATAATTTACTTAGAGCATCCCTATCGTTTAATTTTTTTTTTATTAAATTTAAGTTAAAATTTAATTTGACATCACTTGTTTTAGTAGAGTAATTTAAATTTTATTAAATTATCGGTTGACTGCGAGGACGATCGAAGGATGTCCGGTCAGTCAACCAGTCAATGTAATTTTTTCATAGATTTTTACAAGGAAGTGGTCGACTGGGAGAACAACAAGTTGGACATCCGGGCAATCATTCGGTGATTGTGTATGCCCTGCATCTCCAATAGTTATGAATAGTAAATTGATGAAAGCCAGCGTCATTCTCAATTTGATGAAAATTTTAAGATTTCCTAGATTTCATATTGGTTTAATGAAAAGGTTAGAGCAACAAAAGCTTACTTTTTTCATCAAATTTAAATTTGATAAAAAAAAATGCGCAGTGTTGGAGAAGCTCTTAGAGCATCTCCAATCCAGTATCAGATGTTTCATCAAATTTGAATTTAATAGAAAGTCTCATTTAGTGCTCCAACCGTTTCATCAAATTTATATCAAATAGAATGAAAAAGAAAACTTTCATCAAATGGAAGAAGCATTTCATTTTTTATTAAATTCAAATTTTTACTGTTGGGCCAGATATCCACCCGAATGTCCATTCAATGGCAACTTTGACAGCTCTTTTGCTCATGTCTGAATGACTTCCAAGATATCCACCCAAAGTTCCTTCCAAACAACCGGAGACGTAAAAAATTGATGAAAATTATGATTTTAGCATTGTAGTGAATGGTATCAAATCAAATTTTTCATCAAATTTTGAAATTTGATGAAATTTTTAATTCAATGTTGAAGACGGCCTTAGTGGGTGTTTAGGGTTCGCATATTTAGTGCACTTTTTATGAAAAAATTTGTAAAAACTAAAGAGACAATGTGACTCAAATAAGTGTACTTATCAAATAAAGGATTGTTTGAGAAGTGTTAAATAAATATATTTTTTGACTTTTTATAAAAAAATGTGTAAAAAAATAAATAGATGATGTGATTAAAAACAGATAAAAAAAATATACTACGGTAGGTCTTCCCAAACAAATTCTAAGTATACTTATTTAGATCATCCTAATAGTATAAAACCAAAATAAACCCCTAATCTCTCTCAACTAGATCCAAAATCCATTATTATTATTATTAAAATTAGACTTGTATCATGAGACAAGTATATATTTAACTATAATTAGTGAATATCAATTTTGGTGTTCGTTATAAAAGAGGGCAAAAATCAAATCTAAAACTTAAGTTCAACAAAAATGTTAGAAATCTCAAAAATTTTACATAGGTGTGGCACCTATATGGACTCACATTGTGTGTGTCCTATATTTATATGAGACATTTAATAAAATTTTTGATAAAATTTTTAAAATTTCTAACATTATTTTAAGTTAAATGACACACTTATCACCACTTGAGTTATAAAGTAAATGTAATATTTTATTTATTTGTTTATTTAAATGGTACACGAAGGAAATATTGCCTTGTAGGATAAACCATTGACTATCTCTTTAGTGAATTTTTCTTTTTTTTCTAAATGTGGAATGAAAATTTTAATAAAGATTTACTCTTATCCATTTTTTTTTCTTTTTCTTTTTTGTAGTGGATTTACTCTTATCCTCCATAGGTAAAGTAAAATTTTGAATGTGCTTTCAATGTCTAGATTACAATTACCCTTTTTTTTTCTTATGTTCATTCAAAAAAAATGTCTAGATTACAATTACCCTTTTTTTTTCTTATGTTCATTATTCAAAAAAAAAAAAAATCCACATTTTTCCTATAATTTATTAGGAGATTCCAAAGGCCGTTTTTGGGAACATAGAACCATCAATTCCTCTCTATCCCATGCCTGTTTGACTCTTGATTTTGATCAAGGATCTATGTTCTCAATTTTATTTATTTGTTTCAAAAATCTGTAACTATTAAATTATTAAAGTGTAAAATTTTTGAAATATGATCTAACAAAAATAAATAAATTTTTTTGAGAGAAATGATAACTATTTGAGTATTAACACAATAGCACAAACATAATAACTAGACAATGACATTGTTTTAAATAAATTCCACGTTAAATGATCAAACTCGCATACAAATTTTTTGTCTTGATTAATATATTTATTAATATATGGAGAACAATAAATCATCACAACACTACTAGAAAATACGTAATATTTATTATAAATAAAAAAAAAAACGTAACAAGAGTGCAGAAGAACTTCCTTTAGGCTATAATATAATTATATTTTATTTATATTTCACTCATATTTTTTGTTTATTTTTGTCTAAATTGATGATCTAAACACAAATTTTATAAATATGTTAATATTATTTTAACATTAGTGGTGCATTATTACGAGTGCAGGGGATTTGAGGTTGTTGCAAGTTGTGCGGACAGCCTACAGCTAAAATGTAGTGCCTCTCAACCTTGCAATTTGCAAGCTACATTATTTAATATTATAATAAATAATACAACAAACGAGTCATATGAACAGACATATGTCTCGTGTACAAGGACACCCTCAAATTAATGCCATTGAAATTGATTGATACCATCACTTCAATATCAATAATCCCATTCTTCAATTATATCATTCAAAGACAAGCCCAATGTTTTTGATAGGGATGTTTGATCAATGTTGTCCTGCTTCTAGTTAACTTTTGCATGAATGAGCTGCAACAATATATTGTGTCAGTTTCCATGTGGTATATACAAATATTTTAAATTTTTTAACAAGTTCTTTTAGGGTTAGTTTGGAAAGTTGACTTTTTAATTTTTTGACTTTTTTAGCTATTTTAACTTGGGTTAAAAAACTTTGAAAATGACTTTTTTTGTGAGAGAATAGTGTAATGATTATGGGTTGGATGTGATGTTTTATTTGTTGTGACTGAAATAGTTTATTTTATCTTTTGTGACTAAAATAGCCAAAAAAGTCCACAAAATCCCTTCCCAAAAATTTATATATAATTTAACATATTTAATAGTTCAAATTTTGAACAATTTGATGAATAAACAACACTTTCAATAGTAATTGAATATGACAATTATTATGTAGAATGTTTTCTTAGAAAAACAAAAACAAAAACAAAAACAAAAAAAAAATTGATAGCAAATGAGATATATTATGCTTTTATATAATAAAGTAGACATATAATATTATTTATGAGAAACTCAAAAAAAAAAAAAAAGGAACAATAAATAAACTTCCTTTTGGCCTTCAAAGTCAAAATATTCAATGCTCGAAGCAAATAAAATTCAACTATAATGTGTTCGCTAATTAGAGGTTATTTATTGAACAATTTGACTTGGAATGTCCAAAAGAAGTTTATATGGAGCCAATCTTGATTAAATTAAATATATTGTTAAATTAGAGGTTTTCAAACCAAATCTACTTCATTAATTATTTATTATTCAGAAATCTTTCATAACAACAACACTTCACACCAAATTAAGGTTGTCATCACATGATCACAGCACATAAACAACAAACTACAGGTAATATGATTTTGTTAATTCGATTTAAATCTATCCACTCATTTATTTTCTTTCTTCTCTCCATTGATATTACATCTCTACGTGCAAAACTATGAATACATGTAGATAAGTTAACAATACTATATGAATGCATATGCTAAAGAGAAAAAAAAAAATCAGAATAAAAAATTTATTTGGATAATATTCATGTCAAACTTGAGCCATTAAAGTGACTTAATTGATCATTCACCAACAACTAGGTCATTGTGGGTGGATCTCATCATCCCATTTAAAATTCCAGCATTCTAAGAAGATTACCAGCCATATCAAACAACAAAAACTTTCCAACAGGAACACTTACTGGCATTAAAGCTGGCGAATAGGTTCCATATAAAAGCAACCAAGTCAAAAAAGTACAGATAAGAACGATAAAACAGTCACCTAAATTGCATGTTCTTTAAGTGTCTTTCCGAATATTGATTGCTTCATCATATTCTATGCATGAATACATATGATACAAAACTTATTACCAACCACACAAACATGCAGATATACTCTTGAATATGCATGTTGGTAACACACGTCCGAGTTCATGCTCTTCAACTGCCTTCAGATTTCTCCAGAGCTGCAACAAATGCCATTATTAGTTCACAACAAACAAACCCAACTCTGTTACTTCACTTCTCACTCTCATAAATGATAGTCTAGGTCCTCCAAGTGAACTTGACTCGGACCCCCAGTGCAAGTAAAAAATATATATGTTTGCTCGCTAGATACCAGAACTATTAATTATGGTTGCCAAAAAATAAGTTTGTCTCAAAATTCAGCTGCTAATTCTAATCAAACTCTTTACACTGTAAAAGTTTTGCGATTGTTAACTAAAAGAATAGTCTGCAGTTGCATGGTTAGTCATGAATCCTTATTCTTCATCAGTTTTATATGAATTGGCATACTTGTTAATTCACTGGTAAATACTAGAAAATCACCTATCACACCACTGCTAACAGTCAAACACCAAAACTCCCCACCCCCAAAATCAAACACACACACACACAAACATTTTTAAAAAATAAGAAAAATTCCAAACGCAGAATGACAGAGATAGAGAGAGTACTGTTGTAGTTCAGAAGCTTCTCAATGAGGTCCACATGTGTCATGAGCATTCGCCTGCAGCAGTAACGAACCAACCCCAATGCATCAAGGGCATCTCTGCATAACAAGCAATTCAATGTTAGATTGAGAGCAACACATTATTTTGTGTAGTAGAATGACTGAACTCTAATCGAAGATAAATACTAGTTAATATTTTCATATATAACAAATAATATACTTTTATGCATTTCTTTATTTGTTATATATATTCAATCATTCATTATAAGCTATAACACTAAATTAATTTTAATTTAAGTCACCCAACAACACAAATGTCAAGAATTTAACATTATCCATCAAATTGGGTCGAATCCAATCCCAATCCAAACTCAGGCTTATTAAAATCTAGACTCTTGCTCAAGTCCTTATTAATTCAATGCTTAAGAAATCTTACATAAATTACAAGTATAACAATAAAAATCTTTTATTTTCAGCAACAAAGTTGAAAATTTTATTAACAATTCTTCAAAACCAAAATAATAACATTGAGAACAAAGAGTTTAAAACAACAGTACAAAAATCATAGCATTTAGAACACTCCAAAAAAAAAAAAAAAGACGCTAAAAAATTGTACTCACCCCTCAGTGTAATCAGCCTGGAGAAGATCAAGATATGTGTCCCATTTGTTTCCAATAACCTAAAAAACAAAAACAAAAACAAAAACAAAAACAAAAACAAAAAAACAAGTTTGAAGAAAAACGACTACTTGAGAAAACAAACAAACGATCAACATGAGTACTAGTTAAGGATTTGTAAAACTGAATTTTGGAATCAAAAACGTACCTTGCCGCAAGTGAAGCAACGCACTGGTATAATCATCTTCGGTTTGCGTTTGCCCTAGTTTCGTCTCACCTCTCGATCTCTCTGCAATCTTTGTATATAATCGTTAATATGAATATGGGTTTGGTTTGAACTGGGCCAGATACACAGAAGCCCAATTTCTGAGCCGGCCGCGAAAAGAAAACAATTGTAGATTGGACCATAGATTGGGCCTAGTTTTACATTAGAACCAACTACAGCCCTATATAAGCCCAGTCCAATATCTGTGTTTTTTTGTTTTTAGAAAATTTTAATCTTAGATTTTTTTTATAAAAAAAAAAAGAAAGAAAAAAATCACTACGATGACGTGAGGATGCCATTATTTGTAATTAAAGGCTATATTAATGGATTTTTAAAATGAAATATTATAATTGATCTATACCATTCCATACAAAAATTCCATATAATTTTTCTATTTTAATAACAAACTCATTATGTAAATAGAGTGAAGGAAATGGGAATTTTTATGACTTTGAGCCACACTTGGGCCTTTAAGCCGAAACGATGACCGGATAAGCCCATAGTGCAGCCCACGATGAGTAAAAATGGGTTTTTTTTTTTTTTGAGGAAATAAAATTAATAATTTGAATAGATTAATCTCTTGGGCCTTTAAGCCGAAACGATGACCGGATAAGCCCATAGTGCAGCCCACGATGAGTAAAAATGGGTTTTTTTTTTTTTAGCCCATAATTGACGTACACAACTTCATGCTTGGTGGTTAGTAGAAGTCATTATTACAAATTAAATTATTAACTAATCACAAATTGAATCACTATTAACTAATTAAAATAAAGTAAGAGTCCCACATTCATATGGGCATAGGACTCAGACCACCTTATGAGTAGTTGGTAAATGTGTATTAGAGATATTTTTAGCATTTTTGTTGAAATTGTGCTATTGAGAAAAATCAAATTCTTGAAACAAAATTAATAATTTTTTTTTTGAGGAAATAAAATTAATAATTTGAATAGATTAATCTTTGGTAATATAGAACTTAGCTAACCTTCTACCTCCACCTGCTTTACCTTCCTGATCTAATGGTCAAGATATTTATTTTATGGTAAATTTGAGCCATCAGATCTTAGTATTGAGAGGGTAAAGCTTTTCTTTGAAGCAAGCTACAACATCAATGAATAGTGTCAACTGCAAATTTTCCTTCTCTGTCTATCAGAATCCAGAAACCAAAACAAGAAATATATACCCAATCATGAATTAAATATGATAATCCACTCAAAGGTAACAGACTTATCTACCGAAAATGACTTGGACCCCCACAAAGGGCACTCCCATGACCCCTTCTCTGTCTGATTGGCCAATTTTTCTTTTTCTTTTTTTTCTTCTCCTCCAATCACCAACCCCCACGTTTGTGTAAGGGTGGTGATTGGAGGGGGTCTCAATCACTTTCCCTTCCCATAACCATATAGCCTCCATGGAAAATGTTTGGGACCCCTTTTGGGGAGACCCCCACCACCCCCACAGTGATGTGAACCAGTGATGTGTTTGTATTTTTATTTTTTTTTTCTTTCTTTCTCTTTTTTACTTGGACCAATAACAAGTGAGTGTGAGTTGTAGGGGTGATGTTTTGTGGGGGTCTGAATCATTACTACACTATAAAACGGCGAGGAGTATCAGACACTCTGCTGCAAGAAAAAGAGTGAGAAAACATACAAGAGAGAAGTTTTTACTATGGAGAGAGTCCCCTTTTGGGGAGACCCCCACCACCCCCACAGTGATGTGAACCAATGATGTGTTTGTAATTTTTTTTTTTTTTTTCTTTCTTTCTCTTTCTTACTTGGACCAATCACAAGTGAATGGGAGTTGTAGGGGGTAATGTTTTGTGGGGGTCTGAATCATTACTGCACTATAAAACGGCGAGGGGTATCAGACACTCCGCTGCAAGAAAAAGAGTGAGAAGACATACAAGAGAGAAGTTTTTACTATGGAGAGAGTTACTAAGGCACTACTTGTCATGTCTATCTTCCTAGTGGCATTCTTTGCCAGTTCTGGAGGAGGAACAGATGTCCCAACCCCTGAACCAACTTCTGAAGGAGGAAGAGATGTCCCAACCTCTAAATCTAAGTACCGAATCTCTGAACCAATTTCTGAAGTAGGAAGAGATGTCCCAATCTCTAAACCCAAGTACCAAATCCCTAAACCAATTTCTAGAGAAGGAAGAGATGTCCCAACCTCTGAACCTTTTTTTGGGGGTAATTACCGAATCCCTGAACCAATTTCTGAAGGAGGAAGAAATGTCCCAACCTCTAAACCTAAGTATCGAATCCCTGAACCAATTTCTGAAGTAGGAAGAGGTGTCCCAACCTCTAAACCTAAGTGCCGAATCCCTGAACCAATTTCTGGAGAAGAGATGTCCCAACCTCTGAACCTTTTTTTTGGGTGATTACCGAATCCCTGAACCAATTTCTGCAGGAGGAAGAGATGTCCAAATCTCTGAACCTCTTTTTTTGGGTAAGTACCAAATCTCTGAACCAACTACCGAAGGAGGAATAGATGTCCCAACCAAAGAAGAGACAGTCTACAATCCCCAGGGTTTCGGTCTCTTTCCTGGCTTTGGGGGCTATGGTGGCAGCTCTGACAGTGGCTCTGCAAGGACCAATGATGGCAATTGGTTGTTTCCATGGCTCCATTGGCATAAGATATTCTTCCCTGGGCTTGGGGGAGGATCCACCCATACTGTAGCTGGACTTCAAGATTTGGCTAAAGCAGAAAACAGGGTCGGAAACGTTCCTACAGTTGACAAGTCTGGTAATGGATATCCATGATCATGTGTCTGTAATTCTAGGAATTCGGAGATCAGGGTGCTTTTGTTTAAATAAAGTCTATTTCCAGTTTGTAATGCTTGGTCCTCTATGCACACTGTCAACCTTGTGTTGTGTTTAGAGCTAAGCAATAAAGTAGTATTCCAATACAGTGTGCTTTCCAGCTGCTCTGTGTTGAGTTAATTATGCAATAAAATGCCATTCCAGTAATTGTGCTGTGTGCGTACCTAGTGTGAGAGCTCTGTGTGCGTGCGGCGTTGAAGATGGAGCAATCAGATGATCAGGACAAATGTGCCCTTTGACAGGGTGTGAAACCACTTGCTTATGACACCACATGCATCTCTAATCAAGCAACCCTACCAATATAATCTGAAATTTATGTCGTCTGCAATTAAAATAGAGTAACACAAACAGAAGAAACATACAAAAATGCCGCACTTGAATTGTGGGCTATCATTTTAAAACAAAGAACCTATCAAGATGTCTTTAAAATACAAAAATGTCACTGCCACAGCAAAAAGCGCATATTCAATGTCAAGATACATCAACATTGCCTAATTAGAGAAGGTTTCCTGGTGTCAACCCACGTGAAATATTTCTCTTTCATGGGCAACTCCAAGGCACAAAATTGGCGAAAATAGGGTGATCTTCAAAAGATTTTCTTGCAAAGTTTACACTTCTGTGGCATTCAATAAGAACCCACATCAAACCCTCTTTGCTTTAGGAATTCCTTGGCCTCTACAACGTCCTACAAAATGAACCTCAATAGTTATGAATTTATAAAGCATGAGGGATATCCATTAAATGAATTATAAAACAAGCATCTATAATATTTTCAACCAAATTTGTCTAATTTAGCCGTAAATTATGGTGAATGTGCTGAATAAAATGACTCCATCCTTGGTCTAACCCCATAAAAAGTTCACACAGCAAAACAACTGCGGACATTGAGGCGTTACAATGACTATATGCTTGCAGACAGAAAAGTCCCATATTAGAAACATTCGTGAAACATTTGCACCACACATGGATTGTAGAATAATAGAACAGCTGTGTTCTAGGGCGGTCCTGTGTTTTGTGTGGCTTTAGGTTGGAAACACTATTACAATAATATGGTCAAAGAGTGAATGAAATCAGTACTATTCTAATTTCAAATAAAAACAACGCACAAATAGTACACATTAATGTGTGTTTGGGAGGGAAAATATTAGGTACACACCTCACTTTGGCCTAGTGCATAAAGTGGTTGCCCCGAGACTTGAACCTATAACCTCAAGGTTATTAGGCCAAGGTTTTACCATTGAACCAATGGTCACCCCTAAATTTCAAATGAGCACAATAAATTTTTGCCTACTCATTAAAACTAATAGATGATGGAGTGGAAATATGCATGTTAGTAAGCTTTCAGATTCAGGGGGAGAAACTAAAAAGGGCAAGAGAGTTAATCTATTAAATGGCACTCCAATAACAGACAATGTGAGATCTCAAACGATTCACCAAGTTAATAAAACACAGTTATCTAGCATGATGGAATCTAGAAGGGCTATTTACATGACAACTACAAGAACCTCCTTTGTTGATGGAAAATGGCAGCAGCCAATTAAAGTCTATAAAAGGCGTGGATCCAACGGTTCTAAGGCCCAAGCCTTAATTTGGCATATGCTAGATGATGTGGGGCCTACTTGGGAGATTAACTAGATTTGGGATTTATTTAAAAGTGTCTTTTGAGTTTCTCAAGTCAAATGTCTTTAAATTTCTAGTCAAGGTCTTTGGGTTATTTAGTTGGTCAAAGAGTCTTCTAGAGTCTTTCACATGATTAATGCATTAAAGAGTCCTAGGGAGTCTAAGTTAGTCATGTCATTTAATTTGGAAAGTTTTAGAATCAAGATGAAGTGAGTATAAATTATATTGTAAGTCTTGTGGCAATTTATGAATGGAATGAATGAAAATTAAGCTTATGCTTCTATGATTGTGCTGATGCAATCTTTCTTTAGTGTGATGCTAAAGAGCCCATTGGTGTGATGCCTTGGGTTTTCTAGGTGTGATATCTAGATCTATCCTTCTTTAACCCTTCCTCTACTTCCTACAAATCACTGTTCACGTCTACTGTTCATATTTACTGTTCACAACCCCCAAAACAGCCCTGTTATTTGTGTTTTTGCTCATACTCAGGCCTATTTCGAATCTGTCCTGCATCAACTTGGTATCAGAGCGAGAGTAGCATCATGTCTACACGATCCGGAAAGCCATTTAGGGGAAGATTAACTGATTACCAGCGTGACGAGATTCTGCTAAAGCTTGTGGAGCAGATAGATAATTTTAGTCTGCGCATCAATACTTTGGAAGGCCAAACAACTCAACCTAACGATGGTGAACAAGGCGAAAACTCTGGGAATAACAATACTAATGAAAATGGCGAAAATCAAGGCGAGCGCACGGAAGAGCAGCGTGTAGATCCGCTACAAAGGCAGCAATTAAGGGCTGGCCAAAATCAGGGAAGGCAGCAAAATTCCATGTCTGATTGGGCCCATGATTTATTGCAAAGGAACCAATATGAGACCTATGATTCAGCCGGAGATATCACTAAGAAGATTAAAATGGAGGTTCCAGATTTTGAAGGTAAGGTCAATCCTACTTTGTTTCATGATTGGCTTGCTTCTATTGAAGAGTACTTTGACTGGTACGATATGGCTGACGATCGGCGAGTGAGATTTGCTAAAATGAAGCTTGTTGGATTAGCAAAAATCTGGTGGATGGGTGTGGAAGGTGATATTCGAAGGTTGGGGCAGCCACCAATTAGTACTTGGCAGGAGATGAAAGCCAAGTTAAAGGAGAAATACATGCCATCAAATTACCATGAGAAGTTGTGTGAACAACTGATTGAATTAAAGCAAAACCGCATGACAGTGGCTGAATATATGCAGAAATTTGATGAGCTAAAGATGAGGAGTCAAATTATGGAAGATTCAAGTCAAGCTCTTGCTCGGTTTAAGGCTGGTTTGAGGCCCGACATAAGAAGGGAGTTGCTTCGCCAACCCTTGTACAGTCTCGAACATGCCTTCCAAGTTGCTTTGGATATGGAGGAGTATTTGAACTACCCAATTTCTAAAAAGTTTGTGTCTCAAGTTGGGGAAACCATAACTAAGGGGTACAATGATGCAAATCGTTTCCGGTCCAATGTTTCAAAGCAAACTTCTGTCAATACGGCTGACCCAAAAGGGAAGAATTATGCAGCTAACAAAGGAAACAGGAAGGAAACCAAGTGCTTTAAGTGTGGTGAATCTGGTCACATGGCATTTCAATGTCCAAAGAGGAGTTTACATATGGCAGTGGAGCAAGAAGCTGAATTCGATCAACAAAACAATGATGATAATGATGATTCCTTTGATGTTGGGGTACTAAATACAGATGACTTAGAAGATGAAGAGGTGGACAATTCTCTGATTTCTGTTGTCAGGCGTATCCTTGCAGCGCCAAAAACTGAAAAGGAAGACTGGAGGCGTACTTCTATTTTTCAAATGCTGGTTCGCTGCGGAAACCAAGCTAGGAAGCTTATCATCGATGGTGGTAGTTCCATGAATGTTGTATCTGCAACCACGGTGGAGCGTCTTAAGCTTCCTGTTCAACCACATCCTCATCCATATAAGGTAGCTTGGATCGATAACACGTCCATTCCGGTAACTCAGCGCTGCCTAGTCTCTTTTTCGTATGGTTTTTATAATGATTCTATCTGGTGTGATGTAATTCCCATGAATGTCACACATATCCTTCTTGGAAGACCATGGCTTTATGATAGAGATGTGCAGCATTCTGGAAAAGAGAACACATATGCTTTCTCATTCAAGAACAAGGAGATTGTTTTGAAGCCAATGACTACAGCTGAAATGGAAAAATTCAAGGAAAAGAAGCCAAAGGATGTCACTGAAAATAAGCCAAAATCTCTCAATATTCTCACCAAGAAGTGTTTTCAAGCTGAGTATGGAACTGGGAGTTATATATGCCGTGGTGGTGAAAGAAGTGTCAGATTTAGCTGCTGAATCTGTCTCTGAATTGCCGACAGAAGTAGCCAAGTTGCTGTCCCATTTTTCTGATGTTGCCCCCAAAGAACTCCCAGATGAATTACCTCCCATGCGCAATGTCCAGCACGCAATAGATCTCATTCCTGGATCACAATTGCCTAATCTTCCAGCCTATCGCATGAATCCACGGGAGCACGCAGAGCTTAAAAGGCAGGTAGATGAGCTACTATCTAAGGGGTTCATTCGTGAAAGTTTAAGTCCCTGTGCTGTTCCAGCTTTGCTTACACCCAAGAAGGATGGTAGTTGGCGCATGTGCATAGATAGTCGTGCTATAAACAAGATTACAATCAAATATCGATTCCCTATCCCGAGGCTTGATGATATGTTGGACATGTTGGCTGGGTCTTGTCTATTCTCAAAGATTGATCTGAAAAGTGGCTACCATCAGTTACGTATAAGGCCAGGAGATGAATGGAAGACAGCTTTCAAGACCAAGGATGGCCTCTACGAGTGGCTAGTCATGCCATTTGGTCTAACAAATGCCCCAAGTACATTCATGCGCTTTATGACACAGGTATTACAGCCTTTCATTGGTCACTTCCTGGTTGTTTATTTTGACGATATTCTAATCTATAGCAAGACCAAGGAGGAACATATCTTTCATCTTCAACAAGTTTTGAGGGTCCTCCGTCAAGAGAAGCTCTACATTAACTTAAAGAAGTGTTCTTTCATGAGTCCAATGGTTGTATTTTTGGGTTTCATTGTGTCGTCTAAAGGAGTGGAAGTCGATCCAAGTAAAGTGAAAGCTATCCTAGAGTGGCCAATTCCAACCTCCTTGCATGAAGTTCGCAGCTTTCATGGGCTGGCGACTTTTTATCGTCGGTTTATCAAGAATTTCAGCACGGTAATGGCACCTATCACTAACTGTATGAAAGGGGGACTGTTTGTTTGGACAAAGGCAGCAGCAAAAGCTTTTGAAGACATAAAGAAGATGATGTCTGAGGCTCCTGTTCTACACCTTCCTGACTTCTCAAAGGTATTTGAGTTGGCGTGCGATGCTTCCAATGTTGGGATTGGGGGTGTGCTGAGTCAAGAAGGGCACCCAGTTGCCTATTTCAGCGAAAAACTCAATGAAACCAAGCAAAAGTATTCCACCTATGACAAGGAATTTTATGCAGTGATTCAAGCTCTTCGCCATTGGCGACACTATCTTCTTTATAAGGAGTTTGTGTTGTTTTCCGACCATGAAGCACTCAAGTACATCAACTGTCAAAAGAAGCTGAATCATCGACATGGTAAATGGGTTTCATTTCTGCAGGAGTATTCTTTTGTTATCAAACATAAAGCTGGCTCTGAGAACAAAGTTGCTGATGCTCTTAGCCGAGTGGTGTATGTTCTCTCTTCCATGACTCTACAGGTGGTGGGTTTTGACTTGCTCAAGAGAGATTATCCTTCTTGTAAGGATTTTAGCTCTATACATGCTCAGTTGCTGGCTGGACAGCAGGGAGGATATGGTGAGTTTTCTTTGCATGATGGCTTCCTCTTCAAGGAAACTCGTCTCTGCTTACCCAACACATCAATTCGTGAAGATATGATTTGGGAATTGCATTCCGGAGGAGTAGCAGGTCATTTTGGAAGAGATAAGACAATTGCAATGGCCGAGGATCGCTTTTATTGGCCAAAGCTGAAGCGAGATGTGGCCAAGGTTGTTTCACGATGCCGTACTTGCCAACTTTCGAAGGGAAGAAAGAAGAATACAGGTTTATACACTCCATTACCCGTGGCCCACGAACCTTGGCAAGATTTAAGTATGGACTTTGTCCTTGGATTACCAAAAACCCTTCGAAAGCACGATTCTATCCTTGTGGTTGTGGATCGCTTCTCCAAAATGGCACACTTTATTCCGTGTTCAAAGACATTGGATGCAGTCCACATAGCTAAGCTCTTCTTTCAAGAAGTTGTCAGACTTCATGGACTGCCAATGACCATTGTCTCTGACCGTGATTCAAAATTTATGAGCTACTTTTGGCGAACGCTATGGAAGTTGCTGAATACAAAGCTGAAATTTTCTTCGGCTTTTCATCCGCAAACTGATGGTCAAACGGAGGTTGTTAATCGCAGTTTGGGTAATCTACTTCGCTGCCTTGTTAGTAATCATGTTGGCAGCTGGGATCAGGTACTTCCTATGGCAGAATTTGCATACAACAGCTCTGTGAACAGATCTACAGGTCGCAGCTCTTTCAAAATTGTCACAGGTTTGCTTCCAAGGAAACCGATCGATTTGGTTCCCCTACCTATTCAGGCTCGCCCAAGTGCTGAAGCTGAAGCTTTTAGTCAACATATCCGTGATATCCATGATGAAGTGCGACGAAAGATTGCCATCAGCAATGAGGGGTACAAACAACATGCTGATTTGCGGCGGAGGTTTGCTGAATTTGATGAGGGCGACATGGTCATGGTTCGAATCAAACCCGAACGGTATCCTAAAGGGGTATATAAGAAACTTCATTCGAAGAGCGCTGGACCATTTAAAGTTCCCAAAAAGATTAGCTCAAATGCTTATGTGCTTGAATTACCTGATGACATGAGCATAAGTAATGTATTCAATATTGAGGATCTCACTCGATATTCTGGGCATGCTAAGAGCAATAACTGGGCTGACCCTGTGGCATCTCTCCCAGCACCCAAAATTTTTCAAGATGAAATCGAAGACGTGGTTGATCATCAAATTGTTTCAACTCAACATGGAGGTTATCAAAAGTATCTCATTAAGTGGAAGAAACGTTCACTGTCAGATTGCATTTGGATTACTGATGAGGAGTTTCGGCGCCTCAACCCTGACCTTTATGAAGAGTTCCATGCTTTTAACTCGACGGGGTTGAGTTCTTTCAAGCCGGGCAGAGTTGATGGAAAATGGCAGCAGCCAATTAAAGTCTATAAAAGGCGTGGATCCAACGGTTCTAAGGCCCAAGCCTTAATTTGGCATATGCTAGATGATGTGGGGCCTACTTGGGAGATTAACTAGATTTGGGATTTATTTAAAAGTGTCTTTTGAGTTTTTCAAGTCAAATGTCTTTAAATTTCTAGTCAAGGTCTTTGGGTTATTTAGTTGGTCAAAGAGTCTTCTAGAGTCTTTCACATGATTAATGCATTAAAGAGTCCTAGGGAGTCTAAGTTAGTCATGTCATTTAATTTGGAAAGTTTTAGAATCAAGATGAAGTGAGTATAAATTATATTGTAAGTCTTGTGGCAATTTATGAATGGAATGAATGAAAATTAAGCTTATGCTTCTATGATTGTGCTGATGCAATCTTTCTTTAGTGTGATGCTAAAGAGCCCATTGGTGTGATGCCTTGGGTTTTCTAGGTGTGATATCTAGATCTATCCTTCTTTAACCCTTCCTCTACTTCCTACAAATCACTGTTCACGTCTACTGTTCATATTTACTGTTCACAACCCCCAAAACAGCCCTGTTATTTGTGTTTTTGCTCATACTCAGGCCTATTTCGAATCTGTCCTGCATCATTTGTGGTTCCTCAAATTACACTGCACTGTCCTGTAAGAGTGTGTCGGCTAACTGCAGTAGACTGTATATGACCAACTACCCTTTTCTCCTTTTACAAAACTAAATTTCCATTAAACGTCATTTGTAACCAAACAAATTCAAATTATTTGGCATTTTGAGACTTAAAAACTGCGGACATCATAATAATTTATGAACCTCCTCAATGTGACTTCATAGATAGGAGGTCCTTGATATTGTCACAAAAAGTAAGGAAAGGCAATGTAATTTCAAAAACCACAAGGGAGGTCTCTGTAGACTCTAATTGTCAAAAACCTCAAAAGATGTCTATGTAATTGTCCCAATCTACAAGGAAAGCTATTAAGCATTTCTAAGATAAAATAAACACACAATACTGAAATGGGAAAAGCAAGGATCCATCACCTCATGATCATTTTCTTGACAAAATCACAACTTAACTTGAGAGATAAGCTTTAATCTCAAAAGGTTGTCTAGTTTTATGGCTTGTAGATCAACATATTTGAAATGGGCAAAGAAAAAGTAAATATGAATAAACCACAAGCTAAGTTGGGGGAAATTTGGTTGTGAATAAACCACAAGCTAAGCTAACTAAACCAAACCAAACCAAGCCTTAAGTCCCATCAAATGGGGTCGACTACATGAATCCTTCTTCTCCACACAGCCTTATCAAAGGCCATTTCATTAATCAAATTAAGTAGATCCATATTTCTATTTACAACGCTAACCAACGTTAGCCTAGGCCTACCCCATCCCCTAACACTTCCATCTACCGTTACAACATCGCATCTCTTCGCTACTGCCTCTGTTGGTCTCCGTCGAAAATGACCAAACCATCTCAATCGATTCTCTCTCAACTTATCATCTATCGGTGCTACTCCTACCCATTCCCGAATATACTCATTCCGAATTCTGTCTTGTCTAGTCTTACCACACATTCACCTTAGTATTCTCATCTCAGCCACACTCATCTTATTTACATGTTGTTTCTTGGTTGCCCAACACTCCATCCCATTCCCATACAACATCGCTGATCTAATAGCTGCTCTATAGAACTTACCTTTAAGTCTAGTGGGTATTTGTTTATCACACATTAGAGAAATTTAAAAAAGTAATGCCCATTGTCTAATAAACCTTAGTGAATAAACCACAAGCTAAATTAAAAAAGTAAAACTTAATATTTTCTAATAACTTGTTCATTTTGGGAGTGAACGAAAGCTTTTTAGGTATCCAACAAATATATACTGACAAAATTTATAGGTAGCGTATACATCATAATTTATATGAACCGAATGTGATGCCCATTGTCATCTTACATGACTACATGTTAAAATGTGTTTCAATGCCCTGCACTAAGAAAAAAGTTATTCATCATTTGCAATGCACCTTATCTTCTATAGCTTTAACTTCTCATGCAATAACTTTGTCACTTTTAAAAACAAAACAAAAAATTAATAAAGCAAAACCTATTTAATCTCCAACCAATGCCTACCCCTTCCTTAATTAATCAACCAATACTGCACAAAACATTAATAAAAAGAAAAAACCTATCTACCATTGTGATGGCATATTGGTATGCTCAAGTTCTTTAACCTTTAATATCCTCATGTCTTTATAATAAGGATGTTATACATAAGTAACATTTCATCATGGGCCAACCCGCAGTGTTCAATACATCTCAATAACATAAGCAGTTGTCATTTTGATGGCATATTGGCATGCTTAAAATTCTTTAAATTTTTCTATCCTTCCTGTCTTTATAATAGAGACATTATACCAAGGCTTTTAGGATTAATGAATCAACATGGAGAAAAGCAAACAGTATTTAAACCGCCTAATTAGCCTAGAAATTACTCTTTCCTATTCCTTCACTGCCAGCCCCACAACCAGGCTGCTGTTACAATAAGGAAAAATATCCCCTACAAAGACTGAAGTAAAATACCTGCTGCAACAGTACTGCCTCTTGTGGGCAAGTTGGAAATTGCATCAGACCAACTCCAACCATTAATAGGCCATAGCATCCTAGTGACACAATCAAGTACAAGGGTAGCTGGAAAGAAAGTCAACAACAAAATGTAAGCTAGAGAACAAATAAAGAGAGCTACAAATAAACAACATAATTTAGTAAGAAGTAGAAGAAGGAGCTCACCAACCAAGTGTAGCTGCGTGGAATTACTGACGTTTGCAATAGGCCAACCCAAAAGGCAGATATGGCCACCAACAATGTTATTATCTTCACAATATGCTTCATGTCCTGAATGCAATTTAAGGACATGAAAATATTAGCAAGGTAGCTTTATAATAATAAATATGATCTCATCAGACATTTGTACTCCAAGTGAACATTGTGTATAAGTAGTTATACTATGCCAAAGGCGCAGCACAATGAATAAGCACTGGCATGACATCAAATTTAAAGGAACATGTGAGATGAAGGGTTTGATCCTACAAATGATGTTTTAAAAAAAAAAAAATCCCACAATGACACATAGCACGTTACCAAATGGCAAAACCCATAGTGGAGAAGAAAGATGGCAGAGTGATTCATTAAGAACACTGACTCACATTAAAAGCCACAATATTACTAATGCCCCTTATTCTAATCACGTGAAATGGAGCACCTCACTGTCTATAGATTTTTCTAGAATTATGAATCTTGCACAAATCACATGTGAGGGAATATTTATGTCAAGAATTCCACACTACCTGTGTGGATGCTCCTGCTCAAGGACAGAATACATTCATTTCTTTAACTAGCAAGGGAAAAATCTGTGTCTGAAATGGACCATTACTAACATCTCACAAAGCAAAAAAAAAAAAAGCACAAGGAAATTAAGTTTTCAACAATTAGGTATCCACATCTCTCATTCTCACATGGTGGGAACTCATCCCAAATCAGCTAAAATAAAATAGCAATGTCAAACTGATTAAGGTAAAAAAAAGACCCAATGACATAATTGGATGTATAAGTCATCACTTCGCCTGTGAGAAAAAAGAGAAGAAAAGAAAAGATATTGAAAACATAACAAATAATCGCAATAAGTAGAACATGTGGTTCTTCACTTGAGCTGACCAGTTCAATAAATAAATCAAAAAAATATGCCCCTTTAAGAAAAATCAATATTGCCATTAAAATTCAGAAATAATTACTGCCATCAGAAGCACTGATCCAAGAAAAATAAAATAAAATAAAATTCTGCCATCAGAAGGGATGTATGGTTGAAATTATTTCACGGTCCCAATGCAAAAGCATCAGTAAAATGGACTCAAAGCCCTTGCGCAATGTCCCAAACATCACATGGCAGTTTAATGGACTGCTGATATATCAGATCCCCAAATAAATTAGAAATGAAGATCTAAGTGCCTTAACCACATGAATATAATAATCCATATATATACATATACGAAAATAACAGTCTCTAGATGTGTAACAATTTTAGGACATAATTATCCCTATTGAATCAAATACTGCCGATAGCAATCTGTATAGCTCCAACAAAATGCTACAAATGAAATATTCCTAATAAACAATAGTAGTCATCAATCCGGATTCCCCATAAAAATATAATTTAATTCAATCTCATATCATTAACACCGAAATCCTTTTAATTTGGTCTACCATTGTCAATTTCCACTTTAAAACAATTTAATGTCAGAGGGCTTATAATGTCATGGTGTTAGTTTCTAAAAATCTATAGCTTGTTTCAAATGCTTTAAAATATTGGACACTTCAAATAATTAGAGAAAAAATAGACTAACCAGAACAAACCCATCAGGGCCAGCATTGAGATTTAGGGGGCCTTAGGCAAACAACAAAAAAGGGGCCCTCTTATATATATATATATATATATATTTATTTAAAGTTAATGGATAAAACAAGAAGTAACAACAATTTTTTTATTTGTTAGTAGCCACAAAAAGTTTACTTGCACATATAATCGCTAAAATTATAAACTAGAATTACAAATTGTAGGTTTGTTTCTTGCTACCAAAACATTTATCAAGCGCTTGTGATTGAGATTGAATATTTTCTTTTTTCAAATCCGGAAATATATAAATCCACAATCACCCATATTTGCAAATAATATGTTTTCGGAAATTGGAGCACAACAAAAATTATAGATTTCCATCAAAGCAAAAAAATTAGAGACTTTTCTAATTCAACCAAACCAAAAAAAAAAAAAAAAGTTTCTCTCCTTATTTTTCTTTTTCTATATTCTCTCTTACTGTTCTTTAATAAAAACAAAAATTTAAATTATTTGTTTGCACTTCATTGATCATTTTCTAAATAAACTGTGTGAACTGAATTCAAGACAAAGAATGGTAAATCTTGTAGTCCATTGGGCACAAAAATTATGGCAAAATTAGTGAAGAAACATTAGGGGGAAAATAGGGCACCAAGTTCTTCCATTGAAATCTGATATACATATATATATGGAGAGAGAGAGAGAGAGAGAGAGAAGGACTCACACACTGCCGGTTGTTCCTCTGTTAGTTGAATCGCCGATAATCGCCTGGTTGTCGTCGCCGGTCGCCGGTCGTTGATCGATGAACAATTTGAAACGTGGACTTCTGAACCCTAACGACAAAGGGAAGCCCTCGTCTCCAACTGTCGAAACTAACGTTTTAGGCCCTAAATGTTGTTTTGTTGACAATATAAAAAAAATAAAAAAATAAAAGTACCCGGTTCACAATCACGCTCACGCAATGGGTCGAATTAGGGGAGGACATTCGTCCGTTTGCTCGTCCAGTCTTTTCGGTTCAATTTTATTTTTTTAAGATTTAAAAACTGAATCAACATTTTTTTGTTTTTTTGAAGTATTAATGGGTTGGATTTAAAATTTATATCTTTAAGTTTCCTATTAAATTAATTAATTAATTATAATATATTAAAATATTTTTTTATTAAAATTTATACTTTATATTTGTTAATTTTATTATATGTGATTGAATTTAATTATAAAATTATTTAAACTTTTCTAATACATAATCTGATATGTGAGTTTAAAATTTATAATTATTTTTTAAATCAAATTTGGACATATGTAAAGGTTCAATATTAGGGCCAGACTTGACCAAGTACAAAAGTTCTTAGGCCGCGTTTGTTTGGAGTTATAGGGAGAGGATTGAGATTACTAATCCCTTGCTATTACTAATGGGGTGTTTGTTTTGAGAGATGGGGAGGGGACTGTACGGGGTGAAATATCATCTGCTTTCCGTACTCCTTGTACTCCAAGCTTCTCTTGGCAGCGTCTACCTAGTAACACAGAAAAGGTGAGCTGCCCGGCGGTGATGTGCCGGAAAGACCCTCCGACGATCAAGTCAGTCCACTTGAGGAAGGAGAAGACAGATAGAGAGAGAGAGTGTTTTCTTTGGGGAAGAAGTTGCATACCTCTTACGTTCATCCTCCTCCCTATTTCAAGGCTGGCCATGCAACCTCAAGATTATGCACGCACTACCTCTGCTGTCCTTCCCAGGACAGGTGGCAGTACTCGCCTCTCACCACCTTACGCATGTAAAGGCTTAGTCCTCCCTCCAGTACACGTAGAACTGTCAAACGGTATTGGTGCATGGGTGGAGCAGACGTCCTCCCCCTCACGCCATTGGCCCAGGTGGCACACTTAACCGGGGAACCACCTGTGGAGAATTGACTCCTCGAACACGTAACCGAGCTAATGAGCGCCGACCTGCCCCTTGGCAAAGGGGCCAAAATGCTATGCTCATGGCCGGGCTGTTTATGATCGGTCCCAACCGACTGAATGGCCATGAAGTACGCTGGACTTCCACTATTCTTCATTAAGCCCGTCCATCTCGGCCGATCGGTTAAGCGCATGCCGACGCTAATCGCATCTCAAGTCCGATCCGGGCGGCTCTCGGCTTTGTTGTCAGACACTGCTGCGCGCTCAGCATTGTTACAGCTCAGCCAGGCATTGGTTCGTGTCTGGTCGGTCGACCTCTTCAGCCGTACAGGTCAGGCCGCTGGCCGAGCAAGATAGGATTCTGCTCGGTGGCGCGCGGTTCGTCATGATCACCGTTATCGTAGCTCGGCTGTACTAACGCGCAAATCTCCCATCTCAATTGCCCGTTAACCCCATCCGACCTAGTCGTGACTGGGGTTACCATCGTGACCGAGCTAACGGACGAGTTGCGCCATCACCTAGCCGAGCGTGATTGGGGGCATAACCATCACCGAGCTGTCCCGTTTGGTCAGCCATTTCCTCCGCAGTCTCATCAAAGGTCGTACAGCCGTACTAACAGCCGCGTTTCCAGTGCTACGTGGCTTCACGCCACTGGGTCGTACAGCCAGCTGTTCTGCACGCGCAAAATTCAAACGGCACAGCCGTTTGGGGTTCCTTCCCCCCTCTTTTGTATTCTAACGAAGGGCCTAAAACCCTTCACTTTTCACCTTCTCTTCCACACAAACCCCTAACCTTAGCTTCCATATTCTCTGAGAACTTCCCCTCCCTGCCGCTGCGTCTTACCTGCCTCCGCTTCCATTCTTTGTTTCTCGTGAAGTCACAACCAAGCTCGAGAGGCCTTGCTCTTGCAACTGGTATTTGGTAAGTCCTCCTACCCTTTCTCCAAACTCTCGCACTTGAGTTCCTCAACTTTTTCATTTTTTCATGCTTTGTATTCTCCATGTTTACACTCAGGGCCATTAGAGTTGTTTTTCCCTGCTTAGATCTTGCACACCCTAGGGCAAACAAGAACAGTAGAAAATGATGGGGCTTTCATGCCCCTTGTTTCTCCTGGGTTCGAACGAGTTCGTCCTATTTCTGGGATGAACAGTTTGAATCTGGGTAGAACCGAGCAAAACGCTCGTTTAGATCCATAAATGACACACGGCCGAGCAAAAACTGGTTTGTGACTTCTCGTAGAGGTTGTAGCCGAGCCGAACTACCAATTAAAACCGGTAATAGTACTGAACCGGGCGAAAACTTGAGGTCGTTACTTGGGCCTTGACCGAGTTAGTTTGTCAAGTCGAACCGACCGAGCTATAACTTTGACCGAGCTAGCTTCGGAGAGTTAAAACCGAACTAGGAAATCGACCAAGTAGCATTACCGAGGTAGGGGTCGAACCGGCCAAACACCAATAATTCCTTCACTGAGCCAATTCCCATAGGGGCCGCGCAATTTACACCGTGCTAACCCTCAGAATTATTTTTTAATCATGCAGAACAAATAGGACCGACCAATCCAGTCGAGCACTAATTGATGGAGCTCAAAGTCCGAGCAGACCCACCAACATTTTTGACCGAGACATACACTATATCAAATAAAACCGAGATAGATGGAGAAGTACCGCTCTATGGTTAGCTCGCCCGGTGCAATGGCCGAGTTTCGCAGGGATTACAACATCCCAGATGACGTCATCTTAGAGCTCGCCAGAAAGGGAGACACCCCTTGGGGGGTTCTAGACCGGTGCCCCTTCACTGTCGTATCAATAGTAAAGGGAGGGCTCCGCTTCCTGGTCCAGCCTTTGATCTGTGAATTTTTGAGGCAGACAAGGCTTTGCCCGACCCAAGTTTCAAATAACACTTACAAAATAATAAACGGGGTCGCCGAACAGAAAGGGAGACACCCCTTGGGGGGTTCTAGACCGGTGCCCCTTCACTGTCGTATCAATAGTAAAGGGAGGGCTCCGCTTCCTGGTCCAGCCTTTGATCTGTGAGTTTTTGAGGCAGACAAGGCTTTGTCCGACCCAAGTTTCAAATAACACTTACAAAATAATAAACGGGGTCACCGAACTGAACCGGAGGCTCGGTTTCAATCTCGGTCTGGCTGAAATTTTCCATCAGTATAGTCTTAGTAGAAATAAGAGCGGGTTTTGCTGGTACCTCAAAGTGAAGAAGGGCCGAGCAAAATTAGTAGAGGGTAACCTGGACAAGGAGACAAACGACGACGACTTCTTGTGGATGTCTGGTCACTATGAGGACACCGAGGCACCCACACCGGGATGGTATATTAGAAAGGATTTTGGCAGTGCCGGTGAGTCGCTCAGCTGACCGCGCTATTTTCTTTTTGCATCACTCACTTTCCATGTCGATCTAACACTTGTCTTGTTTTTGCAGATAAGCACCTAGCAGCAGACTACTACCGGGCCAACCAAGAGGCCATCAGAGTCCTGCTGCGCCATCCTGTCGAGGAGAGGGAGGCTTCGAAATTGCTCGGCTTCGATCAAACCTACCACTACACCGCGCCGCGCAGGAGTCGGGTTACCAATTTTCTGCGTGCGCCAACCCTAGAACTAGATCCAAACTTACCACCGATCAGGCTTATTTCACTCACCGCCGAGCAAGAAATGGAGAAAATCAGGGCCATCAAGTCCCTGATCACCGGGGAAGAAGACGAGTCCCAAAGACAAGAGGCAACTGGGGGGACATCCTCCACACCCGCCGTGCAGCAAGAAGGGGCAGTACTGGCGCTTGCCAGCGAACAACCGGCTGGTCGGTCCAAGAAGCGGCTGAGAAAAGAGCAAATCGGGCCGCATCTGGCCGATAAGGACTCTACCGATGGCGTCTCCACCGAGCTCAGGGACCAGGCCGAGCAACCACAGACCGGCAAGTCCAAGGGCCCAGCCACCTCCCCGGTCTGGGCGCCTGAGTTCAAATACCAGGGCCGTGCAGTTTCTTCTGAGGACTCCGTCTACGCGGACAAGGATTACTCGCTTGGTTTCAATTTGACCAAGGGGTTAATCTTGTCCGCTGATATGAAAAAACACGACGAGCTTTCCGGCCTCAAGGTCCTCCGCTTGGCGGCGAAATCCATAATGCTGGTAAGTTCTCCATTCTTTACGTCAAACTGTTTGCTCATTTTTTGTGCGGTTTTTCGAATACTGACGATCTCTCACTTGTTTTCAGGCCGTGCAAAAGAACTATTTGGCCCACGACCGAATGATCAAAGTGCAGCAGAGCATGCGGGATGCCATAGCGGAGAATAAGGCACAAAAGACCGAGATAGCGAAGCTTAAAGCTACGCAGGAAGCAGTTGAGGCCGAGCGAGATATCTTGAGGCAAAAGGTTGACCGAGCTAACGAGGACAAACTTCGGGCCGTGAAGTCGACGAAGGCTCGGTATCTGGCCGAGCTGAGGAAACTGCACGATGCGCACAAAGCTGAGAAGGACAAGGCCGTTGATGATGCAGAAGACCGGGCATACGCACAGGGCGAGAAGACCTACGAACGGCAGGTCCAAGCGACCAAGGACATCTTTTTCCAGTGCGGCTGGAAAGCTGCCGTGGAGAAAGTTGGTCTTGGTCAGGATTCTGACATTGTTCTTGGAAAATGGTTTGAAATTGGGTTTGAATATGGTTTTAATTGACTCACCTTTGGGGCTTGAATTCATAAATTGAGCTTTGAAACTTGTTATACATTGAATTTAGTTATGTTTTCCAGAATTTGGGCCCAAGAGGTCGAGTTTGGAGTGGTAGAATGCTTGGTTTGAGCTTGGGAGGCAAATCTGGAAATTCCAGATTTGGCTTCCTCGCTCGAGCGAAGGATCCCCCGCTCGAGCGAGCACCTTTG